TCCCCAGGGCTGCTCTCGATCCATTCTCCCCTGGTTACAGGATTGACTCCCATTACACCAGAGAATTCACCTCCCTCTTTCATATTGGCTACGTCACCACAGCTTCATCTCTGCTGAAGCATCAGCAATGCACACGTACACGAGGTGTTCAGCATCCAGCTGCGCTCATACCGCTTAGGTGCAAGTGGAGCACAGCTTGTATGCTGCAAGTTAAGTACTCTCTTGTGAAGGTTTCGGGAGTCTGACAGTTTGGGGAACATTAATTCTCAGAGCTTTCGTTTTATAAGGCAGCCTTTCAGTCACCCCCCCCCAAAATACAAGCTGTACCCAGCCCCATAGCTCTCTGTGCTTCCCTTCTGGCTCATCCCCAAAGTGCTGCACTAAAACCACCCTTCCCCACTTCAGCTGCAGATGAACAAGGCTGCACCATCGCCGCGGTCCTGTCACCGCTCTGTTGAGCAAAGGTAAGGGCAAGCACGTGGCATTTAACAAAATTCCCCCAAAAAGCACAGGTGGAAGTACACTTGCCAGCCTTGCTTTTTGGCTCCAAGAGAAAAGAGGTGAGGCAGCAGTGCACAGCTTGAGCACAGACTCAGCAGTAACCTTCACCTTTGTGTTCCTGCTTTAAGGAAGGTTTTAAACCTGCTTAAAGTGGCATCTCCAAAGCGTTTATCCTCTATGTGAGATCACACACTTGCTGTGGGGTTGAGGTTGGCAGGGACCTCGGGATGGCGTCTGGTCCAAGCCCCTGCTCCAGCTGCTGATCGCCAACGATGGAAACTCCACCAGTTCTCTGGGCAACCTGTGCCACTGCTCCGTCACCCTGACAACTGCAAAGGGAGAAAGCTGAAGGCAGAGCTATCCTCTTGTCAGCTTGTACAGTCAAACCTGAGGCTAAATATTGCAGATCAATACACAGACTCCAGCAAAAACTGCACCAAAGCATTCTCCAGAGCACAGCTATGCATTTGCAAACGCTGTGTCCTTCCCTTAACACCCTGGCCATCAGCAGAAAGGACTAACGTAACGTGCCTTTCACTGTGTGCCCTCCTTGCACAAAAAAATACTTCAACAAGTCAGGCTCACGGCTCGCTGTCGGGCACACACAAGGCAGGAAGATGCAAGGGAAGACCAAGAAGACTGCAAAGAAAAGCAGCTTGAACAAATACTTTTTCCCTAATAATACAACGTTACACCAGCCTCATTTGTTTTGTTACTTTATTGAAAGTGGCAGATCCCTTTCAACGTTTTTAAAAACTAAAACCATTGTTGCTTTGAATACTGGACAAAGTTTGTGGGGATTGTTTCCTTTAAAAAGTTTACTCGTTACACTGCAGTGCACGTTGAGTAATAATACAAGGTACCTTACTGACAAAATTTGCTACCGTCATGAACAGCAACTTTAAAAGCAGCAGGAGCCCTTCAGCTGCTTTTCTGCTGGACTGCAGCCTCCGCCTTCCACCTCCGTAAGATTCCTGTCTATACATTAACTCCTTCTCCTGAGGGGAAAAAAATGAGTTTGTTCTCTTCTTCATAAATGCAGGCTCCAAGATGGCTCTCGCCACAGAGAAACACCACTCTGCGGCAGATCTCCAGCGAGATTAAACAGCAGCACCTCTTCTCTACGGGACAAGGTCATAGTGTTTGTTGAGCCCGTACTTATCCTTCAGAGAGGAAGAGTAAAGGATAGTCATAAGCTAAAGTGAACACTGCACACCGGGATGAGGGAAATCTATGGTCCTTTTGAGCTACTTTTTAGCCCAGCGCTTACAATCTGCAGGTCTGAATCAAAGTACCAAAAAAATCAAGCCTTGCTACTCACGAAGTGGCCTATCTTTAAAAAAAAAAAAAAAAAAGAAAAGCTGAACAGTTACAGCTTTTGTTCTCAGTGGCTTTGGGCTGAGCCACATCATTCACACACAAACACCCAGACAGAAAGATCTGGATACCTAAGGTCTTGCTGACTTCATGGGAATATCTTTATAATTACAGAGCAGACCTCTAAAGCCACCAGCTATCAGAAGTTATTTTCCTAAGTCTATTTTGCTAGACCTTTAAAGTATAGATTTAAAATCTGTGCATTTACCTGAATTCAAGATTTGCTTTATCAACTAGTATTACACAGAAAGCCAAGCTAGTTGGGGATGGCTCCGCTGGAATACCTTAAGCAGCCACCACGGCAGTAGATGCTTTAATTTCTCTGCCAGCAAACACCACCACAGCTTGTCAGCTGGAGCAGGGCCCTGGCTTCAGCGAGTTTAGATCCCAGACTGAAAGAAGAGCCAGAAAGGGAAAGTGGAGAAGGAGGAGAGGGAGGCCTCGAGCAGCTTTTGCGACACACCGCCCCCGCCCCCAGCCACACCAAACTGATACTGTTGTGGCTCCCCCATTGTACCTTTCTGTAGAGGACAGGTTTCTTTGCTCCAGAACTGCTACACAATGAACTGAAGCTCTGCCAGTGCCTTCGCTGTTGGGTTCCCCCCGCCCCCCCTTTTTTCAATCCTTCTGCAACATCTGGGCACGCACAGTAGGTGTCTGCTCAGCTTAGAGACCAGGACTGCCAAACCTGCGTCTCCAGTTGCGGAAAGCACCAAGGAAAGGAACTCCACCAGCTCCCAAGCCAAACGTAACCACGTTGCCTTCCAGTCCTTGGAGATCCAAGGCAAGTTCTGCTGTTGCTTGAACCAGATGAACCAAAGCCTAATACAAAATGACGTCCCAGAGCCAAAAAAAAGTACAGTCAGCAAACCCATCCTCCGGTGAAACGACGAGCTGGGAAAGAGCAGCAGCGTATTAGCTCAGCTGCTGCTACACTTGAAAGCTTTTCCTTACTAGCGTGTGAAGGAGTTGAAGCAATCCTCCAGAACAACTGGGGAGCTGCTCTAACTTTCCCAGAGGTCATAATGCATGGACAGAGCTTCCAAACATACCTGCACTCACGCATTACTGCTCACAAACACTTCTTTAGGAAAGGCAGGAGGCTAAACCCATCAGACTCGCCTTTGAAACAGAGCTCAATGGAAGAGTATCTCCCTCTTTTCCAGCAGTCGGGCATTTACCAGTAACAAGCTGTGAATCAAACCAAGCCAAAATGGATACATCCATAGGGAAACAATTAAAAACTGCATTGATTACATTGTAAAAACAATTAGACCACCCATCTCGGGTTCTGCAAAAGGTCTAAATTGTACTTGCATTGCAAACCCCACCTTGGGTTATCATGGAAACACGTGTAATATGAAGGCTCTGAAATGTCCTGGAGTCCATAACACAATGTTACATCCAACAGCAGATGGTGGTCTGGATTAGAGATGTAGTTCTTATGAAGCTGGAAAAAAATCCTTCCCCCCTCAAAACAGCAGCAGGGAACGGAGGTGTCAGCGGGCAGAGCTCAGGTGGTTCCGACTGTGTGAAAACCTGCAAGAAAGAACAGTGGGTGGAACTGGTCACTACTGTCCCCGGCAAGCCCTCGCCTGAAGACAGCCCACAGGCACCGCGCCAGCCAGCGTGTCTGCGGATGAAGAGGTTCAGTCCGGATGCATTTGTTGCCGCTCCCATTGCCACTGCCAGTTTTCTAGAAAAAAAGTCTTGAAAGAAGAAAACCCAGCCATTTAACAAAAAGCCAAGGCGGCACTTTTTTCAGGCTTTTAAGATTCAATTTTAGGCTAGTAAGAAATTTTGAGCACTAGTGTTTTACAGTAAGAAACCAACCAGGGTCTCCGAGGTTTTGCAAAGCTCCAAAAAGAGTCTCTTGCGCTTACGCACCGCCCAGCAGTGCCATTTCTGGGCTGACAGAAGTGGATGATAGTGAAAGAGCTGCCCTGCAGAGCCACCCAATGCACGGCCACGAGTTCCTCCTGCTCAGCTAGAGGCTACAGTTTTTGCAGGCATCACCAGGGCACCTTCTGTGACCTCTGTGGGTCAGCCAGAAGGGACAAGAGTGTTCTCTTTCCAGTTTTAAGTGATTATTAGATGAGGGACTGAAACAGACCCATATCATATTTGCTTGAAAGCTTGAACGGCCTCATAACAGAAGCCCTCAAGGATGGCCAGTATTTTCGGTCCTTAATATCTAAGGCTCTTCTCTGCTTGACAGCGTTCAATGGATACTTGAACTACAAGGCACAAACTACGCTAGCTTAAACCCATCAGAAATAAATGCTTCGAACGCCCAAGTTCAAGGGTGTAAAGACTGTAACGCCTGGGTTGTATTTACATTAGCAATTAGAGCACAAAATGGCTCCTTTGGTCACATGCATAGCAAAATACTTTACTTCCAGCCTTCTAACCAGCGAGGGCCCAAACGTTAAGTTTCTTGGCTGGTGAGGAAAGGGCAAGATTTAGGAGAGCCTGCTGTGAAAGGAAGAAAAGCCAAATTCATGTTAAATAAAGCCTGATAAACCTGTGATCAGGATCTGACATTGTTGCCTGCAACACGTGGATGCGACTGAACTTGGTGCCAGCAGCGGAGGCAACTTTGACACAGCACCTGCTGAGCAGCAAAGAACTTCATTCTACCAGACCATACTCCTTCACAGGTTTCATAAGTGATCACCTCAGGAAAAATACACTTTCCTGCTACCTGAAGCTGGACAAGCAGAGTAACTGGCTGCACATAGTGCTGTAAAGCACATTCCTTGCAATGAAATGGATACTCACTATTCCAGAAGCGATCCATAGTCCTCACTACCTGCTTAATGGGACCAGCAGGACATGAGATATATAGAGATACAGACGTATCTAGATATATACATGCATGCAAGATGAAGGTAAATAGCAGCATCTTTCTGTGCTCTGCAACATTTATCTACACTACAGGGACCTCTTCAATGTGCAAAAGGACTTTTGAGGCAGGAAGAACTGCCTTCCATTAAATGAAAAGAAGTTAAAAGAAGTGACTTGGGGACTATTAGGTCAGCCGTCATCAATATTCACTTTTTAGGTGTCTTGACTGCTCAGCGCCAACCTTTACCATAGCTGAGGAGTCTGACAATGGCTCCGTTCACTGCCAGCTCCATCCCAGCTTGTACTCTAGAGGCTACTCACCTTTGTACCCGCTCCACCATGTGTGCTATCAGTTTGTCAGAGATGCCTGGGCAGGACTCCTCAGCCAAGCTAAAGGCATTCTCCAGCTCTTCCATAGCTCCCACATTGCCTCCAGTCTGCTTGTGCTTATCTTTAAGCTGCAACCCAGAAACGGTGCGTTAGTTCCTTATCCCGTTGCAGAAAGCGCAGGTCAAGCAGTGCAGTACAGCCATTAAGTCCCTTTCCCTTTTAGTATGACTCCACAAGGGTGCAGGAGGGCACATTCTTCTTTAAAAATAAAAGAAAGGCTCTTTTTGTAGGTCAGGAAGATGGAAGTCCAATGTCTGGTGTTCAGACTTTCCTCCAGGTACTAACGGCAATTGAAGTCCTTAACAAACAGCCCCTGATGTACAAACTCAATGATGCTAGAGATGGATCAACAGCCCTGAAGCCCCCTAAGTAGTAACAGAACAAAGAACTCCAGCTGTATCTGAACCAGTACAGTCATCTTTGCTGCTAATGACAGCTTAGCTCCCAGACGCACACCAAGGCTTGCAGGCAGGTAGGGCAGAAGACATCGTTATCACCAGGAGATAGCCACCACCACTTTTAATAACCACAAAAAGGTTTGAGTTGCTTCTAGTGACTGGGAGGCCAAGGCATACTACTGCCACGCTACGGATCCTGAGCCACTCGGCCTCCCCCACTCCTCCCCACGAGAGCGCTTTCCCCAGGGGGACAGGGGAATGAAGCCCGCGCACCAAGACCTCCATGTGCAGCATCTGACCTAGACGAAAAGCCTCAGTTCTCATCTGTCATGGTTAGCGCACTCTGACTAGGCCTCACCAGCCACAAGTCTACTTGCACATGGTTCCGGTCGTTAATTTGAAATAGCTAAACCTCCGTCACGAACTCCTGACAGGTCACCGATGGATGCTGAGCCTGAAGGAGTCTGTTGTTGGAAAACCCGCAGTCACATCCCTTGCAGCATTTCCCCACCTCCTTCACACAAGCAGCTCAGGCAGGAGCCCCTTCCCTAGTGCGCATCGTTACACAGCCAGCTGAACAAAAATCAAAACCTTTGTTGAACAAGCAATGTCTGCCAGCTAACTGCTGTCCAGTGCAATTAACCTCCCTTTAGGCTACCATGATTAAAGGGCTTTACATAAGCCTCACGGTTCTTTGCCTGCAGTGCTACGCTCAGCCTTTCCTGTTGTTGGAGCTCACCTTTTCTCCATGGTCCTGAAAGCAGGACAATGTCAGTGCTAATCCCTAGCTGCAGCTGTCCCTGCGCTCCAGGTGCCTCGCCAGAAACAAACAGTTCTTAGTCAAAAAGAGCTGCTGCCACTTCAGTAGGGCAATTGCTCACCAACACAAAGCCTCAGCTGCGGGAGCAACTCACACACTGCTGCTCATTCAGAAGTGGCGGGAGCACGGAGGGCAACTCGATTACACATCAAGGAAACAGATTTCATAAGCCAAAAATAGTTGTGATGCTAAAGCCAAGGATTTGATTTGACCTCTGCCTGATCAAAGACCTGATTTCGCCTCAGAGCAAAATTAGACACAGGGTCTGCCCTGCAGGTAAGTTGCCAGTTTATCACCAGCCTTCGGTGCCAAGCCACTGCCCTTTAGTTTGCCCAGCGGCCTGTGATGTGAGCGGTCTGCGTTATCCTGTCACTTCCCACCACAGAAAAGCTTTCTGGAGGTTAGCAGACGGTTAGAGAGCTGTACTGCGCAAAGCCTTACGGGATGGCTTTTATCCACTGCTTGGCTCTCCAGGCCCAAACACCTTACCTGTCCTTCCTGCCCCAGGAAGGGCAGACAGGTTTCCAGATGTGCAGTTGCCCACATCTGTGTTAATGACCCACCATGGGTCATTTTGAATATTAACATCCAATAATACACAGGCAGGGAAGGCATGTAAAAGATTAGGAACAGCATCTCGGTAAGATTTCAGTTCACAAAGCCCAGCTTCAGCCCTTTTATGGAAAGAGGTGATCAAAACCTAGCAGGTCTAAGAGGCAGTAACACAATGGTGAGAAGGACAAAATCTGCTGTAGGAGACTAGAACTGAAAAGAACAATGTGTGCAACCAGCAGTGAGGCACATTTCCTACTTGGAGAAAAGTTTTCTTCCAAACCCCTGCTACTGCATGCAGAAGCCATGTTATTTCAGAGACTGCCCAGAACCTTCCCTGCACCTGATTTCACTGAGCAGGATCAGCAGAGCCAGCAGGGAACCCTAATCAAAGGGAAAGGCTGATCAGCAAATCTGGGGCAAGGGAGTCAAACTAGCAGAAATGAAAGGTCCAAGAAGCCACTTCCCGCCTGGAACTGGTGCAGCAAGGTTGGTAAGGAGAAGTGGGAAGATGCACTCGTTGGTTTGGAGAACTCACAGCCCCAAGCACTCCGTCCCCCAGAAGGCTCCTAAACAGAAAGGACTGAGAACCAGATGTCAGTGATTACGCTTGCACGAACAAGCTGCCCGCATCAGAAATCAAGATTATTTTTATCTGTTTTTATCTCATAGGTCTAGGCTACAAGACCATCTGCCTCACGCTCTGACCTCTGGAAGTCAAGCCCAGCGGAGTACAGAAGAGGCCAGTTAGCTAAACTCTTAATTTCCAAAGTGGTTCTGTCTCAAGAGCCTGCTTTTCAGAATGACCTCTGCTCTCCGCCCTGCAGCAAACCCTCTTTCGAGAGAGCACTAATTCTGAGAAAAGAGATTTAAGTCCAAAGACTATTCCTGAAAAAGCACAGCTCTCTGCTGGGCCACCCCCGGAACAGCATCAGGATCCAAAAAAGAACAAGTCATCAGGACCAGAGAAAGGGTCTCTGACCCAGCACCCCAAGAAAAGAACCCTGACACGCAGTGTCTGTGTAAGTGATTTCTTCCGAAGCAGAATCTCCTTTCCTACACTCCTGCTGGAAACAGCAGCTGAAGCTCGTAGCCAGTAGCCCCCTTAAGATTATCATCCTCTTCTCCTCCCTTAAAACATCACCCAGCTGGAAAGGCAATTCAGCTCTCTGCTGATACGGACACCATCCCATCATTAATGGTAGCTTTGACTTCAACTCCGCATCCCCACCCAGAACACAAGGCAGGGAAACAAGGTGGATTTTCCAAACGCATTTTCTCTGTCTACCTTCCACAGGCCACGTGGTAGGTAACTCCTTGGCCTCAGCATGCTAGCAATAGCAGGCATGTATCGATCAAGAAGATGCTTTAATCCACCCGCACTCCCCTCAGTGACTCTGCTGTGGAGAGCAGCGTATAGCACAAGGGCAGGGAAGACGCATAGCGACAGGCAAGCTCAAATACCTGCCTGCCCGAACAGGAGCTGTGCTTCAGCCCTGGAGGCCAGGGTCATCAGAGCCCAGAGCTGCCAAGCCATTAGCAAGCCTAAGATGCAGATAAGAAGCAGGCACTCCTCTACCCTCTCTTCACCAGAAGACACCACAATAATGCTATGCTTCTAGGAACACAAGTGTATTGGAGAGGAGATTCCAGGGACATATTCACTTTCTTAATATATGGTATAGACCTCTGAAAAGAGGCACAAATGGCTTCATAGTCCCGTAACCCTGCTAGGTACTTCACAACACCTTGCTTCTCCAAATCTTTCCCATTTACTCATCCACGTCAGGTATTTCTTCGTCTCCAACCACCACAGACACCAAGAAGATTCTACTCACCTCCCCAAAAACTGGGTGAACAAGCGTGGAGAGACACTGTGACCGTGGTTGCCTCTTGATGGGCTCGGTAGGCTAGAAAGCAACATGAAAAGAAGTTACAAGCACAGGCAAAGGCTCCCAGGGCACACAAACTACTAAGCCTTTGGTAAATTCACAGCATCTCAATGGCAGTCCCCTCATCAGGTCTCAGGAAAGCCACTGATTGCAGTACCCTGACGATGTGGAAGAAGCAACTCTGAGGCACTAGCCCTTGATACCAGACTAAAGTAAATTTTAGAGAGAACATCAGTGACTGGTAGCTTCCCCAAGACCCTGAGAAGTTTGTGTTAGTTCAGTCCACTTCTGAAAGAACAAAGAGCAAACAGACCTTCTGAGAACTGTGAAGAGCCATTCCTTTGTGCAACTTGCTCAAGGAGTTGGGGCGAATAGTTGGTGGGAATGTCCAGATCGGACCCTGGTCTCCATCCTCTGTGTCTCCATCACTGGAAATTAAAAGGGGACGGTCAAGACAAACCCTTAGCTCCCTACACCAGCATTGTCGTAATCACAAGCTCTCCCCCACCCGATTGTCATATTGCCACAGGGCTCCAGGCATTTCCCTATCGCAGAAAAAAATCCTAAGAAGAAACCGCTTCAGTCTCTACAGCCCATATACAGCACCACAGATATCTAAGTACTACATCATGTTCCAAATCACCACAACCACCTTTCTGCTCTAGCCAGCTTGGAGACAGTTTCAAGCGCTAGTTAAATTTAGGAGAATTTCAAGACAATCCAAGCTCACAATTTGAGGGGTCAAGCTTAGATGTTGCAAGCCAACCTCCCAGAGTCACTGGTCACTTGAGTCACTGCCACTACAGGTGAAGAGAAGCTCTGCGATACCAGCCTGGCAACAAAGTGCCCTTTCCTCACCCAAGGCTCATACCCTCATTACCCTCCAAATCAGTAGCAAAGCTTTCTGCCCATGAATACACAAACACACGTACACAGCTGTTGCCACAGTTCCTCAAGCCCACAGCTCTTGTATTTAACTGAACATGCACAAAATACCGGCAACAGGAGCCCCGTTTTACTAGTTACGCACAGACTAGATGTTTCTCGTTAGTACTTCTGGTTCCTTACGCTCAGCAAAGAGGCTTGGCAGCCTTAAGACCAAAACGGAGCACCAGGTCCCACTGAACAGGAGGTAACAGCCTGTTTGTTCAGGCTCCCACAAACAGATGCTCACAGCTCTCCCTGAGCTACCATAAGATCTCCAACTCAGGTGGGGGAAAGGACCCGGGCTGTTTGCAGTAGGCTACCCCGGGGCAGGCAGGGTATAGCAGGGGCACCCCTTCGTGCGGAACACATACGTACATATCAGAATCACCAGAACTGGAATCTTCTCCATGGCCCTCCGACTTCCAGCGCTTGAATCGATCTATCAGCTCCATTAGGAATGAGGTTTTCTTGGTGTAGCGTGTGATGAACTTGTGCTTTAGCAATTCTTTAGCTGTCGGCCTCTGGAGCAAATAAGGAAAGCATGCTACATCTAACCATCTCTACACTAAACAACACAACTGCATTGACTTCAATTCTTTCCAGGCTTGCCCGTCCATTCTGCAAGCTCAGTACTTCTTTCTCCCCAGGAGCCTTGCACCAAAAGGTCTTCCTGCTAAATGAATCTTTGACCTCTGCAATACTTTACCCAAATTCACAGGTGGACAGCAATACTCACAAATCTAGGATCCTTATTGAGGCAGGCTTCCACAAACTCCTTGAAGGGCTTGCTGTGGTGACCCTCAAGTGTTGGAGGGTTATTTTTGGGGATCAGGAAGAGAACCCTCATGGGATGCAAGTCAGAATTTGGAGGCTCTCCCTTTGCTAGTTCAATGGCTGTAATTCCAAGGGACCAGATGTCTGCCTGAAAGAAGAGCAAGAACACTGACAGCACAGAACAGCAAGAAGCGATTCTGCAACGCAGAAGCATGCAGCTTTAGCCCAGCCAAAGGGCTGATCACATAAAACCAGATAGGGTGTTTCATGTCTAATAGACAAACTTCTCCAACAGACTCTGGAGCACAACAGGGAAGTATCATTCTTGCAATAAGCAGCACTTCCAACTCCTGTATTAACACTAGCACCATCTCATACACAGTGGCACCAAGTAGGAATCCTCCAGCTCCCAGCTCACCTTGAAGTCATAAGCAGACTGTTTGATGACCTCTGGTGCCATCCAGAATGGAGTCCCGACAAAGGTGTTTCTCTTGATTTGTGTGTCTGTCAACTGTCCAGCCACGCCAAAGTCAGCCAGTTTCACATCTCCTTGCTCCGACAGTAGCACGTTGGCAGCTGCTCACACAAAGAAGCATTAAGTCCACTGGTTTCTGACAGAACTGAATACTGAGAATGGACCTCCTGTGACATCCTCCTTTGCCCCAGTGAAAACCCTCAGATTGATTTCCAGCTTCAGACTCAACTCTCACGCTCTGACCTCTGCTGGGTAACCCAGAACAAGTTCATACCCTCGGCTGGGTCAGAAGGGGAATATTTCTAGGGTAGCCGCAAGGAATAGATGTGAAGGGCCACACAATCAACTAGATGGATTCCTGGCCACACAAAGAAGAGAGGGCAACATGGCCCAAGATAGCTCAAATAGTCTAGTCCTTTTTTTTCAGAGTAGCATTCAGCACAGGCTAAATAGCAGATCTCTCTAAAGAGCTCACAAGTTCCAGTCTTGTACAGCTTCTCACTCACTCAGCTTAAGACAGTGACATTGCTCAGGTTTTGGGACAGGGGTTTTGTTGTAGGACTTTTCATTCTGAGAGAGACCCTACCTACAAACTTTCGGCATTTCTCCACTCCGCCGGCAGCCAACAGTCCTGCACAGCTTGCAGCGCTAGAAAAGTATGGTCTCACATACGCAACGGAATCTTTTCTACATATCTCCCTGCATGAAGTTTCTCTGCTCTGCTTGTTCACATCCCCTCCTGCAGAGGGTCAGACCAGTTAGCGTCCAACACTGGCCACATCTCCACAGCACTGTCCTCCCGCCCTCCTGCTGTCCTTTGATGCTCTGTGCTCAGTGTGAGACTGCGCTTCGGGAGGCAGATGCCAGGTCTCTCTACGTACGGCCAATGACTATAAAAATCAGCAACAGGGTAAGCTGACACAAGCTGCCCTGATTTTCTGGGGCTGTGAACCCTGCGTGAGGACAGCTCACCTTCGCAGTAAGTTATAACCATGATAACCAGCATACACATGCCTTGGGGTCCAGCAGGAAAGCAAATGTCCAGACATAACCGAGAGTCAGCTAATATTTGAGCATGCCTTTCATTAACTCCATTGCTTTAGCCCCCTGCCTGTCCAAACTACAAATGCCAGAGAAAAGCTACAGATCCTCACTGTTACTCTAAACAATAAAGACATGAAAAACATGAGTTGCAATAAAATGACAAGCATCAGAATGAGAAACAAGCAACCCAACAGGAAAAGCAGCACTGAGAAACAGTCTTTGAAACCTCTCAGATTACTGCTGTACAATGCTTCTGAATCTTATGTTAGTAACATCCCTTTACAAGAACGAGAGCTGAGCTCTCCACTCTTACCTTTGATGTCCCTGTGGATCTTCCTCTCGGAGTGCAGATAATCCAAACCCTTTAGGATTTCCCTCAGGATAGTAGCTATGTAAGTCTCCTCCAGGGGTCCCGGCTTCAGCTGATAAAGGTCAGAAAGATGACTTAAAGGAGGGCGACTGATGCCTTGGATCTTCCAGCCTCTCAACTTGTGACTTGGAAATCTTAGCCAAGCAGGTCATATTCAGAAAAAATACTGCACGCCTGGTGCGCATTCTGCAAACAGAATGCTGGACTTTGCACCTGGCAATATTAAATGGAAAAATCTTTGGGGGGTTTTCTGTTAGTCTATTAAAGTCTTCCCAGACAAACAGCAGGACAATCATCTCTCACTTTGGCCTGGAAATACAATGCTGAACAGAACATCTTAATGGTTTCTCTTGTTTAAGTCTCTCTGCTAGCATCCCAGAATGGAATTTCAGTCCCTGCAACAGCCCAGAGACAACTTCTACCCTCTGGCTGTGGGTATTGTATCAAAGCTCTTCTCCTTTCCATCAGTCCTCCTCTAAACAAGTCCGGCCTTCTCAGTGCAATAACTGAGGTTCCGACACTAAGGTGACTTCTGCTGCTGACAGCCCCACCACTGCACCCTTCCTCCAAGTCAGTGCTGGCTCAGCAGCTTTCACTACATGACCTTAGTTACTGCTCTGGAAAAACAGGCTTTATTGTCCCAAGCAGAAAAGCAAAACCCTGTGACAGAATACAGCACAGCAGAACTTTGCCCGTGTGTTTATTCTGCACTTGTATTCTCTTAAAATCTGGGGTAACTTGTTAGATGTCATTTGTGTTATCAAACACCTGGGAATCCTGATCGTAGACCAGGTCCCTGCAGAGCTTGATGCCATGGCAAGCACTGAACAGTACCATAAACTCTTATTAGGTGAAGTATGGATTTGCACTGCTCAAAACCAACTGGCTGCTGTCATGTTTCAGTTCACTGGCTCTTCCCATGGTAAAGCCACAGAGCACGCTGGAGAACAGTGCTTTGACAGCTGAGCTCTGTGCAAACATTTCCTCTGTCCTGGGATATGCATAACCAGCATGTCTGTCCCGCACCGCCTACCCTGCAGGCACAGGGCTGTCAAAAAGATGGTATGTGGCCAGTGAGTGTCTAGCCTACAGGCGTTTCACAAACCAAGGCTCCAGCCAATGTTTTTCATGGTCCAGAGCTTACCACGTACTTACCAAATCCAGGGCTGAACCTCCTCCTAGGTACTCCATGATTATCCACAGCTTAGTGCCCTGCAAGCAAGAGCACAAATCAAGAGCAAAGACAGTCATAAAAGCATGCAGAAAAGTGAAATCCCCAGAGGCAGCAAGACACATGAGCAGTCCTGTACACAATCCAAGAGATGCTGCACACCACAGCTCTCAAAAGGCTTAAGGAGGGAGCTCCCAGCTCCCTCTTTCCTGCATGCTGACACAGCATTACAGTGACAGACCTGACACCCTTCTCCGTCTGCAGTTTTATGTGAGTAAGCTTAGTGCCGCTACAGGCAACAGACTACACAGCCCACAGCGATAAGCATATTCTCGGGTTGGAGCCATTTAACATCACTCCAACAGAGCTAGCACATCTTCTTGACAATCACAGGGGAGCTTTGCAGCCTTTGAGCTCATTAACAGACTGCCAGCTTGAAGGGTACAATCAGCAAGACGCTCTCTTACTCCTCAGAGAAGAGATTTCCAGACTGAGGTTCACAGGGTCCTGGTAGGAGACAATCAGCAGATCCATGAAACTACAGCTTGCTTGGTGTTTTCAGCAGAAGGCTGAGAAAATGCATTACGGCCTTTGAAAAATACATAAGGAATAATCAGGATCCAAATAGCTCAGGAAGTGTTTGCTACAGACCCAGTGGTACAAAGACCTCCAGCAGCCAGCACACAGAGAGCACTTCTGGTCATCACTACTAGTAGCTTCCACTGGGGATTCCTAAACCTGTTCTCAACAGAAGAGGTATCAGCACTCCTCCAAAGACTCAGTTCCTGTTCTTTTAATCAGTTCTGATGAAATGGTGATCACAAGACCACAAAGTACAGTTTCAAACTCCTCTTCTTTCCAGAGGCATAAAGCCCTCAGTGGCACTACCAGAAAACTGTGGTCTTTTGCAAAAGTATTCCACAAACTTCCTTTCAAGAATGGTCAAAATGGGGAGAGGTCAGCCTCTTCAATGACTACTTTTGTCTCCAGTGAAGTGCCCCGCTCTGGGGACCACACTGTACCAGTCACCTCGTTTCCATATGCTTTGCAAGTGTCTTAAAGCCCAGCCTCCTACTAAGACACATAAATGCAGTGAGCAGAGCCACTGCTGTTCCCACAGCCACACCGACACTCCCAGATCGGACACCTTTCAGTGCTGCATGCCACCATCAGCTGCATCATCAGCATCACTATCAGCACCCAGAGAGAAGCCCACCCCATTCCCAGACTGCTGGCAAGAGAATTGCCACGGCTTTTTCCTACCTTCAAGTAGGAGCCGTAGTACCGAGTGATGTAGGGACTATCACACTGGCTGAGCAAAAAAAAAATCCTCAATTTCATCCTCAGCCTCCTCCAGATCAATGATCTTGATAGCAACCACCTCCTTGGTGCGGTTGTCGATCCCTTTATACACTTCACCAAACGATCCTTTGCCGATCCGCTCCAGCTTGGTGAACAGCTCCTCAGGATCCACCCTGGAGTGCTAAAGCAGAAAGCAGAGATGGGAAAAGTCCATTAAGTCCCACGGCAGTCTGCAGAGAGCCATGCATACCTGTACAGCTCATCTCCCTATCTATGCATCTACTGCGTTGTTTCATTCACCCGAAACTCACATATCCTAGAAGGTCTCCACACGCTGAGAAACCTAACACACAACATATCCAAGATTAAAAGAACTGAAGAAACCTTTTACATGGGCTTTCCACCCCTGCAGATGGTAGTCGGTGAGGAAGGGGAGAGAAGCCCAGAAGGAGAATGTCAGCAAGTATCTCTGCGGAAAGTGTCAGCTCCTTTGGGACAGGACTGCTCAACTGCAGGCACTACATGGGTGCCAAAGCAGCTCCAGGAGCAAGCACTTGTTCACAGTTGCATAAAAAGACAGGCAAGGTGTACCAGAACTAGCCTTCTTTTGAAGATCCAAATGAGAAAACGGGTACAAGCAAGAGGCTGTAGGAAGTTCACAAGGATGTTTCCCTAGTCTGCCTGCCTGCACTCAAAGACTGGAATGATTTGGAAGATTTGCATCCTTCCCTACTTGTTTGGAGCGTGAAATACTCCAGTAATATAAATATCAGTACACACTACCTGTCTTCCCTGCTGCAGCCTGATTTCCAGGCAGCATCCAGCCCAGCTCTCTTCAGATGTTTGCAGAGGAAGCCTCATGTCTTTTGGAAGGTCAGCAGCAAGGAGGCCAGACACCTGCCTATCCCAGAGGAGACAGGAGAGCTGAATGGACACTCCGTCTGCAGACCTGCTTTTCTGGAACAGCCTCTCCTCTGGCTGGCACGCCCAGATGCAAAAGCAAAAAGCATTTCCCTCATTAGATAAGCACATCAACTGGCAAACTACTAACATGATCATTGATCATGGGAGAAATACTGACTCTTCAACAGAAGCTTCAAAGTTAATTCTTTATTAAGATGACTATGGATGAGAAAGGGAAGAAATCAGAACAATTTTCTGATGTTATTTCATTTGTTCAGCTGCAGACCAGGAGGTCCTGCTCTGCTTCATGCTACTAAAAGGCTCTTTGTGATTAGTTTTTCTGCCTTTTTTAAAAAATAAGTCTCATTTAAAAAAAAAAAATAAAATCTGGAAAATATGGCCTGACCTACAGGAAGCAGCCAAGCTGTTACAGTGAGTTTTCCACACCCAGAACTTCTCAGTCTCACCTCCAACACGTCACCCAGAGGGGCCGCTCCCTTGCAAGGGCCTTGAGCTGGCAGAGATTTTATCTGAGAATAGGGCAGCTGCATTTTTCCATATACTACCAGGCCATCACTGAGCAGCCCTAGGTGCTGCTTAATGATTAAGCCAGCTAGTCATTACAGGTTGTTTGCTCTCTATGCCCAGTGCATCGCTATATAGAGTAAGCCAGGCCCAGAGTGAGCTTTACAGTCAGCTCACTCAACAGGATTTCCACATGAATTCCAGTCCAAGATACAGACGGATAACCAAATATCCTTGTGCATCCATGGCAACACCCAAACAGGCTGTACTTTGAACAAATGCACTGGAAACAGACTGGAGGGGATATGCAGAGATGAAAGGAACTGCAGAGACATAACAGGGACTGGAGAGAGGGAGGCAGCGGAAAGGAAGAGGATTTGAGCTTGAGACATGCCAGGAGACAACATGAGAATGATGACCACAGGGCAGGGAGAACAGTCTGGCTAGTCCAGGCTCACAAGAGGCCAGGAGCAGTTTCCACCTCTCGACCAGCTTACAGGAAGGGGCAGCAAGGTGGCCCAGACGTTACCTTGCACAGTCCCCTACTGCACCGTAAAAATGCCACTCACCACATCAGCTGCTCCCACCCATCAGGGAGAAGGGAGAGAAAGAGGATGATCCCCTAGAAGCCCCTGGCTCGGCTGGTAAAGGAAACACTATCCATGTGAACTGTGTAGGGAGGCAACCCTGCAAGAAAACCTTCCTCCCCTCCCATGTAAGTAATTTTTCCATGAGAAAAGAAATGGCAAGGTATAAGTTACTGTTCCCCTCCTCAGCCTGGCATGGCACATCAAAGAATCAGGACTGATTCTTCAAGAACAGGACTTCAAACATAACAGTACCAGCTACTGCAGGCAGCTTTTGGCACAACCACCATTTTATGTATCACGACAGCTTCGTAAACGAGCTTCCATACTTCAACGTCAGTTTACCCTGTTTTCTGTGGAAGAAAGCAGTTCAGGTTGGGGCAGTGAAGGAGACAAACCTTCCTGACAAGCACATGGAAACTTTGCCCAAAGGACTCAGGAAAACGATACAACTCTGATCGGCAGAAGAGACAGGCCCACCACATTACGTTGGAACAGAAAACTTTCTTTGTAGGTACTGGATTTACCTTCCCAGTACCTGTCACTTCAAAATTGATCTGGAAATGCTTCAGAGCTCTCAGGTGACAGGGCAAGAGTATGACTCTACGGAGGGCCCGGGGACATGCATCCCTTGACAGAGTTACCGAAATCACACAAGTCATACCCAGAAACAGCCAGAACCTAGTGAGTGAGTATGGGGCAAAGTGGTAGAGTCATTCCAGCCATGGTTACAGTATCCTGGACACTTGCTGCAGGACCAGAGTCTGATAACGAATTTCTTCACTTTCTGTAAACAGGGAGGAGGAAACAGGCCCATCCCCAATTCAAGCAGGTCAATGTCTGCCCAGTGGAACACCTTGTGGACACCACAGAAGACATTGCCAGGTGGCATTCTCATGGAAACAATCCTGAATTCCCATGACAAACTAAGATAGATAAAATTATGCTAGTCTGCAAGACATCTGCTCAAAAGCTCTTGTTCATGAAAAAAAAAAAAATCCCTGTTTGAGCTGCCACATGGTAACTCGCTGCTGATGAGCAAATGTTCAGATCAATGGGCGTACAAGGCTCAGCACTCACCAGACAGCAGAACAAATGCAGTTATGCCAGGAATGGAGAGCTCTGCAAGTGCACCTCTCCATCAGAAGAGAAGCACACTGCTACACTGTGGGGCTCAAGTGGGGCGGGCAGGAGAGGAGAACACATTCTGTGTAGCCTGACTCTGCCCTACACCAATAAATTTGCACCTGCAGAGCACTGCAACGAGGGGTGACAAGGACAATCTGTCCCTTTTCTAAATACAAATTGATCTCAGTGCCAGTCTTGTTGTCAGAGAATCACCCTGGCTGCAAATCCAAGTTCTGGAACTGCACAGCTACAAACACACCTGAAAAACTTCATTAGCAGAAAGCAACGGAATCCAGATGGAATGCTTTACACCTGCACAAATGAGCATAGATAACCCAAAGCAGCTTATTAGCACCTGTCAACTTGGCAACTGCTCACCAGCTTGGGATCTTTCCATTTTCTTCCACACTTACAGAACTGACCAGAGCTGCAAAATGGAGCTCCAGACCAGTCTGAAGAGCTAGCTGACCAGCTGCTGCTCCTCGTTCTACTACAATGCGTAAAGTCTTTAAGGAATGGTCACCTCATCGTACCTTTTTGCTTGACTGAATCTCAACTAAGCAGCAGTTCTGGAGCAAAATGCCTCATGCTGTTTCTCCCCACTGACAGCAGCCAGACACTAGAGATGGCTCAGTCAGGCATGAACAGGCTTTGGGAGGAGAGCATGCAAAGCACTATCTGGGTTGTACGTGCAGGAAGGGGAGGGAATAAGTATGAGAGGGATGAGGGCAATCTACTAGTAATGTGCTCTGCTTCTGTCCTCCAGGACCTAATCTCACCGCACAGGAAAGAAGGATGGTCTGTCATGACAGGTGTGGGGGTGTTTGCCATCATGACTGATGATGCCATGTTTTAAAACAAAGCGACCCACTGCAGACATCAGGAACTAAGAATTGCAGTGTGTTACGAGACAAGCCTGGCAGTAACGCCAGCTGCTTCACGGGGAAAGAATGGGTTTGGCAGCTCTGCCACCTCAAGCTGCAGAGACATGATATCCACAGCCTTTGAGAGGAGACTAGAGAAGAACGGTAAGTATCTACCTTCATTTCAAAGCCACTACCTGGAAAGATAAGCTGCGTATTGGGAACAGAAGCAAATACCCTTTGAATCAGCAAAAGGTCTTCTCTCTGGGCTGTGTCAGGCTGGATCTCACTCTCAAAAGAGTCATACTCAGCATTGTGAACAAGAGTCACACCTGCATCTGCTGCCTAAAACACTGAGAGGTGTTTAAACCCTTTTGGAAGCAAGAGTTCCTTGGTCCGGGGCAGGTCAGGATCAGAATCACTGTTCTACATGGGAAAAGTCTGTAACGGAAAAAGATTGTCAAGGCCACAATACTTTAAGAGCTGAAGCTGACTGGGAGTCTGGCAACTTCTAAAGGTTTAAATGGAACTACAGCAGCATTTAGTGTTACTTCTGACTAAAGCACTTTCCAAGCAAACAAACAAACAAACATACATCATTTTCCTGTGCCAAACACAGTGGAAGGATGAAGTTGGTTTTAATGAACCTCAGCTACTGACCTTCTTTCCTTCATTGCCTCCTCTCCTCCCCAACTTCCCATCCAGCATTTATCGATATTGCATGGTACATACTAACCTCTGGGCCGCCAACAGAGACATCTACAGCAGGCATGATGTTCTCTTTGGAGAAAATCAGCTTTGTAGCTGGAAACATTTGCAAGCTTCCCTGTCTATATGAAATTTGTGCACAGCTCTTTTAGACTGCCAAACCTGAGACAGTTTTGGACTTCTGGAGTATAGACAAGAAGGAAGTTTGTGTTCAGCACTTTGAAACACACGAATTTGAGACTCCCAGCTTGCTTCGCAGTATTCTTTTGCTTCAAGGGAGTGAAGCATTACTTAGCCAGAGAACTTGAACGGGTTCTTCAAGGTCACATAAGGAACAACAAAACTAGAAACAGAGCTCAGATCAGAGCTTTAAATACAGTAACACAAATACAGCATCTAGCAGAGAGAGCTCCCAACAAAGACCAGAGGCTGAGCTCTATGTACACAGCAAAGGGCAGCCAAGAAAAGAGAGCAAGCCAACTAGCCGAGGCAGGGAAATGGAGGCACAGAGGTAAAGCAACCTGGGGATTTGCCTAAGGTACATCAGCAACAGAACAGAGAATCAAAGACAAATCAAGCCTCTGACATCCCAATCCAAGGCCGAGTCTCTCGATTTTCACAGTACCTCCTACCACTCCCTAAACTCTGGTAAACAGAACTTCAGGCCAATTCTTACTGCCCTTCCAGCAAGCCTCAGTTACATAGACTATGAGGTCCCATCAAGGATTCCTGAAGAGACCCAAGGAATGGGCGACACAGACTACTTCCCTATTCCAGGACCAGACAGAGAGTCATGGGATGACAGAATCTGAGAATGCCTTACATTTGCATAATAAATTCAGAGACAACACTACTGGAACTCTGATAAGCTTCATTAGTGAACGTTGTGTACAAAAAAGCTTCAGAGCAACCTCCTCTGGAGCACTGAACTCGGTTCTCAGCCCTAACCCGACAGTATCCTTTCATTTCTCTCCCTTTACTGTGACTCACTCAGGCACTATATTTAATTCCATACACACTTTGTGGAAACACTTTATGTGAAAGACAGCGTGAAAACTAAGATGCATTGCAAATCAAGTTTAAACCAGAAAAAGCTTGGAGAAAGCATCATCTCAAACCACTAAAGCTTTTAGTATTATGATTCTACACCTAGGAGCAGAACAGAAAAATGCCAAAAGTTCTCAAAAAACATAGTTTAACAAGACCTACATTCAGTATTGACATCTGCCAATAATCAAACACACCCCACAACCAAATTCAGAAGAAAGAAGATTCAAGCCAACACTATTAATGTGGTTTAGCTTTTAGTCCCAAGTCATGACATCATCCTTCCACATTCCTCTTATGAAAATGTCATCACAACAACAGGATTTAACCACATCCACTGAGGCTGATATCTCTCTCAGAAGAGTTAACGTTCAGTATCCAATATCACTACCTCTTATGCATTAAGGTTACAAGCACCATTTTTTTCTCAGGCTACTGTTATGAACACTTGAGTAAAATATGTTTGGCACAGTCTGCACACACAGCATTTCTGTTCCCATTTCTAGACTTCCCCTCCCAAAAATACTCAGAGAGCCAATGATTCCTGTCTCCTTAAGAAGAGCAAAGTTAACCTCAGAGAAAGGCTCCATACTGGGCGAAGAATTCCCGTTCTATATGGCTGGCAACCTAACACTGTCAGTCCAACACCACCACAGAATAAGACACAAATCAATCTGCTAACGGGAGCAAGCTGAGATGGGGCAAAAAGTGATTTTCTGGTGATTTGCTTTAAACTCACTTCAAGAGCAAACCTAACAAGGCTTGCTCTTGATACAAGAATTTAAAACAAATTTTTAATTGCCACTTACCTGGCTGGCAAATTCTCTCAAGTGAGCCATGCCTACAGGATGGTCAGACATTCGCTTTTGCAAAATCAGGGAGGGTTGGGACTTTGTAGAACAGCGGGAAAGCGATGCTTTCTCATCCACCGGTCAACTGCGACAAACGAGAACACAACAGCTCTAACTCGAGGTTTTCAGACCCTGGCTCCTTCCCCAAAAGAGCTACCTGCATCTTTTCTCTCCTCAATTTGCAGTTCTCCTTGAACCTAGCAGCTCATTCTAAGTATGCCAGCCCCTCCTTGCAAACCCCATTTCTCAATCCTTTCCAGACATGCCTTCCAGATGTACTAGGGAACCTCACTGTAATGATATACACTGGCAAAGCCCCAGGCACCATTTTCCCCACCCCATCACCTCAGCATCCTCCCCAATATTATAGTTGCCCCTACAGCACTATCCCCTCATCCCCACTCCCAGCATCTTCCCCAGCACAGCCCACAGCATTACCCTCAGTCACCCTCCTACTGCTCCCCAGTAATCTCTCACTGAGGGCATCCCTCCGCTCCCACTTTCTCCAGTACACCCACTTGCAAAGCTCAGCTCCCCAGTACACCTCTTCCTCCTCAGGGAACCCCAACCCTACACCATCCCTGAGCACTCCCCCACAGGGCTCCCCAGTTCTGCCCCAAGACCCCGCGCTCCTCAGCAACCCTCTCCACAGGGCTCCCCAGCAACAGAAGAGCCCCCGCCCAGCACGACCCCTCAGCCCAGCCCAGTCCCCTCAGGG